CTTTTTGTGTCGTTTTAGTCCCCAAACTCAATCTTCTTGTTTCTTGATCTCTTTTCTTCGACTCTTTTGTTCCATCATCTCATATTGACCTCCAATTGGTACTTGGCACTATAAATTTTTCAATTGATCATTTGGCTCATCTTTTGGATATTTTCACTTTGGTCCCTTAATTATCACTTTGATTCATTTTGGTCCTTTTTTACTTCTTTTTCTCGTGAATTTCATCAAGTCCATCACTATACCCTACAATCCAACAATTGAACGAATTTAAGCCACAATTTAAATATTTTACTCGTAATTTAGTCATGTTTGTACATTAAATAAGTGCACAAAAATGCACTTATCAAATCCCCAAAACTTAAACTGTTGTTTGTCATCAAACAAGGTAGTGACTTAAATCTCAACAAATATAGCTTAATAACCTGCCTTATCTCAGGATTGAAATTTAGTAATTAACAAAGGAAACAGTTTCAATAATGCGAGAAAAGAATTTACCTTTACTTGTCGGGTGCAAAACTCATCGTGTGTGTGTGTGTGTACTCATACCAACATAGCAAGTTCATGACTGGTTCAATCCCGACCCTAAAATGGTCAAATATGTCCTTACTTCGGTCGAGAGATGCACAACACCCCAAACTTATTCTTTTCACTCAATTATTCCGGGGTTGTGTTTTAAAGTTAAGGGTTTAGGTAATAGTAGTCTTTACTCTCTTTGTTTGGATAGATCCCACTATTACAGGTTCGCATGTCAACAAGTGAAGGCTCTCCTAGATTTGATTGCTTTAATATTTTAGATTAAACTAAGTTACTTGTCTCGCCTTGAAGGTGTGATTCTTATCAACCGAATGTCCAAGGGCTTTATTCATACCATCATATTCTGTATTATTAATTTTTTTTTATCATCTTCTCATTTGCTTTCTATATAACCCCTGTAGCGAGCTTTAGGCCGATGATTTCCAAACCAGTTGACATCAGGTTTCAAACCCTTACAGGCTTATTTACTCGAGTTATAAAGGCTCGATCAGATGACTTTTTGTTGACCTCTTTCCCTATTGCTTTCTATATGACCCCTGTAACTAGCTTTGGACCAGTGACTCCCAAACCAGTTGGCCTTAGGGCACCAGATTTCAAAATATCCTTGAAAGCTTACTTGCTCAAACCATAAAGGCTTGGAAATGTGTCATATTTCATAACCTACTTTTATATCCCTTTATTATTTTTCTAGACATTTGGTTTCTGGAATCAACCCCCAATTTAAAACTTTCTCCTAATTTTTATCTCACTTGTCTAGGCAATCCACACGGTGTAATTCATGCACGGAGCCCCCACTTATCTCAATGTTCCCCATATAATTGTTAAACCTTCTCTAAACTATGTATTAAGGCATTTTGGGTTTATGGATTTACGTTATGGCTAAATTTAGTCGAGGTTTTCTGGTTTCTTCTACTTTATTTAAACCCAATCACTCAACTGACATGTATGGTAGGAGTGACGTGCATATGGACTGTCAAGTACTACCCCCAACAAGTATCAGTTAATTAAATTCTGCACTATATTCACAGTTCCTAACTCATACCTATTCCAATAATCACATCACTATCAAACCCACACAGGCATGCTGTGAACCAAATATAGCATATTGATGCAATAATCACTTGTCAAGCACACAATGTTCAACCAGTGTCAAAGAATTGATGGATTGTGATCATTTCGATAAAAAATTTACATTACATGCCGATAATTGTATTTTCAAAAGGGTCACGTTCAAAATATGCCACAACTCCCAAACTTATACATTACATTGCCCTCAATGTGAAAAATAAAGGTTTCAAACGACATATTTTGAAGATACGTGCAAATTAGAGTTAGCAAATGAGTGAAATGAAACTCCCTTGATCACTGTGGTGGTGGTGCCTGGGAGCTGGGTCTTGCGGTGTCGTTGCCCGGCGGATGTAAGAAATGAGCCAAAATCTGCCTCAGTAAATTAGACTGCTGGGCTTGCTCTGCCTGCATGGCTTTCATCATGCTACTCTGTGCTCTAACTTCGCCCTCCGTGCTACGCAATCGGTCCTAAGTGTTGTTCACTCTTATCTGTATTTCATCCACTCTCCCCATGTATACACTCAGTCGCTCGTTCATGGTTTCCATCTCCCTCCTTGCTGATCAAGCCTCCTGATATGCAGATTGAGCTGTGGTATGAGTAGTATTGATATCACGTCGGGCCGTCTGCATGTCAGTCGTCAAAGCCCCTAGAGCTTACAGGATGCCCTCTATATCACGACTGGTTCTTGTGAGAGTTGTAAACATCTGCTGCAGTACCTGTGTATCAACTCCCATCGGTGGTGGTGGTGCCTAGGACATCTCAGCATCATCGAGTCCCTAGCCCTGTGCAACTTGCTGCTATCGTCGTCGCTCTCTCTCTTATTTATCCCTATGTCTTATCTGAGCTCGCTCCTGAGCCTCAAATGTAGTACGCTTTATTAGAGGGCTGAGTTTTTCAGGTACCTCTTCTGGTAAGATGGTAACACCTACAGCCCGACATATGCCGTTGATAAGGCTGGGAAAGACCAAAGTGGTACGCCAATCCTGCTAGGTGCCCAATGTCTAGATTTGATTGTAGATAAGGGTGGCGAGGTCTGTTTTGCAACCCCGAACCAAATGATAAGTGAAGCCTATTGTTTGATCAGGAAATGTGGTTCTGTGTGATGTGGGCTCAATGTTGTGGCACATGAAGAGCCATAGAATGGCTATGGATGGTGTGAGCTCCATCTGATGCCACTCAGTAGTCGCTAGGGGCCATGCATTTTTCCGTCCCAACAAAACCTCAGCTACTTTAGTCCAGTTGAATTCGATGGGGATGGGAACTACATTTTCCATGTTCAGCTGATAATAATCATGGATAACCTCTGGGGAAAACATAATCCATTTCCCTCGCACCCATGTGTGATGTATGCGCTCTGAACCTGAGATATCGATTTCACTGTTGAAATTTGCATAGAATTCTCGAACTAGAGTCTCATAAACTGGGTGAGGTTACCACTTTTTCCCAACCACAAATATGGACCAAATTCACCAATTCAAACCCCGGGAAATCTTCAAGTTTAACCGGTCTTTCAGGGTTCATTGTCCAGTGGCGTATGATGTTCTCATACCGGGCAATGGTTTTGGCATTGATGAACCTCTATAAATTCCCTTCGAGCTCCCTAGTTCTTGCAGTTTAGGAGGATGAATCGACTTTTTCTTTGCCCTTTGAAGTTCTTTTCGACGGCATCCTGCAAAAAGAAGATTTCAAATCTCAAAACCATATAATGCAATGAAAAAGCCATGTCAAAAACACGAAAGTTGATTATAGATGCACAAATCCCCCAAACTTACTCCTAGATGCATGTGTAACACCTTGGTGTGCAATATTCAAGATATGATGTTCAAGATAGTATAAATATTGCTCCAATATGAAAAACTAAGAAAATTAGGCCTAAACATGCACATTATAAAAATTGGACTCATGACCGAGTGCTCACTTTTGGTCCTGGGCATCATCGAAAAATATCGAAATTTTCCTGAGCCATCTCCATGCATATGGAAGTATTCAATGAGGTCTAGCACATACTCAAATTTCAAATCAATTGGATTTCGTTTGGTGTATCAAATGATGGTGTAAAGTAGGGGACGTAGGGTGCCGTGACTTCCCGTGACCTTGACGTGTGCCTATGTGTTGCAAAATGGATATGGATGTTTTCTAAGTCAATTGATGTGGGAATTGGTCTCTATGTGTTAGCCACCATATTTTTCAGTTAATACTCGTGTAATAAGCAACCAAATGCACACAAATTGTCACTTGGTCATTTCAACAAACACATGATGCGCTTTTTGAAGTTCTTCACAAGTTTGGTATATCAAGCCTTCGAAACTAGCTTCCATTTGTCAGACATCAATTACATTCATAATGCAACATTCAATTCTTCACCAATATTGAAAATTAAGGCAAATCAAATCCTCAAATTCAAAATTTATAAAGTGGGACATAGGGCACTTACCTTCAATTCTTGCAACGAAATGGGAGTATGGAAATCTTTACTCACTCCAATGTATGATAAGGTGATGATTTGTGTGTGATTTTTGTGATGTTCCCGTATGTTGAGGGTTTGGGAGAGGTGTGCGTGTGTTGGGCGAGAAAGAGATGAATGGAGGGGAGTGGGATTGTAATGGTCGAGTTACGGGTTAAAAACCCCGTAACTGGTAATACCATGCGGCCGCATGGTGTTAATCCATGCGGTCGCATGGCTTTGACAAATTTTTTCTTTTGGTTTTCGATAGTGTCCACATAGATTGAAATTTTTTTTATTTTTTATTTTTTTGGTTTTTTTTTTATAAAATAAAACAAAACAAAATAAAATATAAAAATTGATTCCCCCTCCCCAAAAACACGACCTCAACCAAATTTTGAACTCTCAAGTACACATTGGCCTTTTAAATTTTTGAAAACGTCATTTTGTCTTGAAATGCGTGAATTATACTCTCAATCACCCAAAACCATTTCAAACTTACCGAACATGTGTTCTATGCCTAGGAATTTATGTGAACGGTGCTTGGACTCTATTGACGTGCATGAAGATCACCTATAAAAAAAAATACAGACGTGAATGTTTCCTAAGCTAATGCAAACGACGATTAAACAAAATAAAGGATATAGTGGGTTGCCTTCCACTTAACGCTAGTTTATAGTCTATAGCTTGACTCCTCCACTTCTGCTTCAATTAGGCATTCCGAGTTAGACGGTGGGACTTTTGTTTTGAGAAATCCCCGCCCCAATAGTGTTTCAGCCTTTGCCCATTAATTGTGAATGTTCCTTTTGTTTCATGGTTGACCCGTAGAGCTCCATATGGTAGAACTTTAGTGACAGTGTAGGGGCCCAACCACCTTGATCTTAATTTTCTAGGGAAAAGCTTGAGCCTCGAGTTATATAATAGGACTTTCTACCCTACCTCGAAATCTCATCTCTAAATGTGTAGATCATACCACCTTTTGGTGCGTTCTTTGATAAGCTTTGAATTTTCATATGCTTCCATTCTTAATTCATCTAACTCATTGAGTTGCAATAAATGCTTTTCATCGGTGGCTTTCAAATTCATGTTCAATCGTTTCATTGCCCAGTATGCCCGGTGTTCTATTTCTAGTGGAAGGTGGCATGCTTTTTCAAAGATTAGGTGGAATGGAGACATGCCTATTGGTGTCTTGAATGCTGTCCTATATGCCCACAATGTATCGTCCAACTTTTTTAACCAGTCTTTTGGGGATGAATTTACTGTGGCCTCTAATATTCTCTTCAGCTGCCAATTGGACACTTCAACTTGCCCGCAAGTTTGTGGATGATATGGGGTTAGAACTTGGTGTTTAACCCCATATTTACTCAATAATTACTCAAATTGGCAATTACAAAAATGTTTGCCCCCATCACTGATTATTGCCCGCGACGTGCCATATCTGGTGAAGATGTATTTCTTCAAGAACCCAATTACCATTTTCGCTTCGTTCATTGGCAATGCAACTGTCTCCACCCATTTTGACACATAATCAATTACTATCAGGATATACTAATTTGAAAATGATGGGGAAAACGGTCCCATAAAATCAATTCCCTAGACGTCAAATATCTCTACTTCCAATATGCCGTTCAGTGGCATCTCATTCCTTCTTGAGATGTTCCCAGTGCATTGACATCTATCACACCTCTTAACATATTCAAAGGCGTCTTTGAATAATGTAGGTCACTAGAACCCTGACTGTAAAATCTTAGTTGCAGTCTTTGAAGCCCCCAAATGTCCCGCATAGGCAGATGAGTGACAATGTTCAAGAATTTCAGGTACTTCAATGCACCTTCTCACAATCTGATCAGCCCCTTGCCTATAAAGAATAAGATCTTCCCAAAAATAATATTTCAGCTCGGCGAAGAACTTCTTCTTCTGATGACTCGAGTAATTTGGCGGTGGGATTGAGCTAGCCAAATAATTGACGATGTTTGCATACCATGGGGCTTCTTATGCATTGAACATCTGCTCATATGGAAAAATTTCATTGATTTCCACTGACGTTTCTGGTTCTTCTTGTTCTAATCTCAATAGGTGATCTGCTACTACAGTTTCACTGCCCTTCTTGTCCCTAAATTCAATGTCGAATTCTTGCAACAGCAATACCCAACAGATTAACCTCGGCTTAGCATCCTTCTTTGTCATTAGATACTTCAATGCAGCGTGATCTGTGTAGACTATGACCTTAGACGCCACGAGATATGATCTAAATTTGTCAAAAGCATAGACCACCGTTAAGAGCTCCTTCTCAGTGGTCGCGTAGTTGATCAGGGCATCATTCAATGTTCAGCTTGCGTAATATATTACATGGAAAATCTTATTCTTTCGTTGTCCCAATACTGCACCTACGGCATGATCACTAGCATCGCACATTATCTCGAAAGGTAACTCCCAATCACGTGCTATAATTATTGGCGCTGACGTGAGTTTCAACTTCAAAGTGTTGAAAGCTTTCAGACATTCATCATTAAATTCAAAGGGCACGTCTTTCATTAACAGGTTGCAGAGGGGCTTGGTGATTTTTGAAAAATCTTTTATGAATCGCCTGTAGAATCCAGCATGTCCCAAGAAGCTGCGAACTCCTTTAACTGATTTTGGTGGTGGTAATTTTTCAATAACCTAGATTTTTGCTTTGTCCACCTCAATCCCTTTTTCTGAGACCCAATGCCCAAGTAAAATCCCTTCTTGCACTATGAAGTGACATTTTTCCTAGTTTAATACTAGATTGGTTTCCCTGTATCTTTGCAATACTAGATTCAAGTGTTCCAAAAACTCGTCAAACAAAGACTCGAAGACCGAGAAGTCATCCATAAATATCTCAATAAATTTATTTACCATATCTGAGAAATTGTCATCATACAACGTTGAAAAGTGGCAGGAGCGTTGCAAAGGCCGAAAGGCATCCTGCGGTATGCGAAAGTGCCGTAAGGGACGTGAATGTAGTTTTCTCGATGCCACTGGTATCTGATTGTAACCTGAATACCCGTCAAGGAAGCAGTAATTTGAGTAGCCTGCCAATCTCTCCAGCATTTGGTCTATAAACGGAAGGGGAAAGTGATCTTTCCTTGTTGTTGCATTGAGTTTGCGATAATCAATGCAAACCCTCCATCCTGTGACTGTTCTGGTTGGTATCAACTCATTCTTCTCATTAGGCACTACCGTTATTCCTCATTTCTTTAGCACCACCTGAACTGGGCTAGTCCATACACTGTCTGATATTGGATAGATGATTCCAACATCTAGAAGTTTAAGTACCTCTGCTCTGATCACTTCCTTCATATTTGGATTCAACCTTCACTGACTTTCTACGATTGGTTGGAAGTTCTCTTCCATGAGAATCTTGTGCATGCATAGTGAGGGGCTGATCCCTTTGATATCTGCTATGGTCCATCCAATTGCTGTCTTATTTTCCCTGAGAACCCTAAGTAGTTTCTCTTCTTCCATTTCGCTAACTGTGTTTGAAATGATCACAGAGAGTGTACAGGATTTCCCTAAGTAAGCATATGTAAGGTGTGGTGGTTACTGCTTGAGTTCAAATTTCGGTGGCTGCTGAATGGATGGTAGTGGTTTCGTAGGTCTTGTTCCAACCTCCTCAAAATGCCTTTTTCCCATGTAAGGTGGGTTGGTATCCAAAAACCTTGCACAAATTTCCATCTCCATTAAATCGGACTACGTAGACTGCGAATGTGCAATGCAAGCTTCGTATGCATCTGATGGGTTGTCTAGCAAAAACGAGTCTGGATCACCTTATCAATCACGTCGATCTGGAAACAGCTATCTGTCTCTGTAGGTAGTTTCTTTGACTTGAAAACATTAAACGAGATCTGCTCTTTTCCCAGTCTCAATATCTGTTGCCCATGCTAAACGTCGATCAAGGCTCTTTCTGTTGCCAAAAATGGTCTACCCAGTATCAATGGAATATCCTTATCTTCTTCCATGTCCAAAATTAGGAAATCCGCAGGGAATATGAATTTTTCCACCTTGACAAGCACATCTTCAATTATCCCCCTAGGATATGTTAACGATCTGTTAGCTAGTTGCAGCATTACAGTAGTCGCCTTAGCCTCTCCTGAGCCAAGTTTCCTGAAAACATATAGAGGCATTAAATTAATACTTGCACCAAGATCACACAAAACTTTATCAAAATGAACTTCACCAATAGTGCAAGGAACAATAAAACTCCCTGGATCTTTCAATTTTGGTGGGAGTTTTTTCTGAATTCTGTCGCTACATTCCTCTATTAGCATTACTGTTTCATGATCCCCTAGCTTGCATTTTTTAATAGTATGTCCTTCAAGAACTTTGCGTAGCTGGACATCTGGAATAATGCATCGGCGAGTGGGATGTTGATGTGAAGTTTCTTAAAAACTTCAAGAAATTTCTTGTATTGATGCTCCAACTTCTGCTTTTTTATCCTTTGTGGAAAAGTTATAGGAGGCTCATGAGGTTAATGGTTGCTTTTTCTTGTGTTTTGTTTGGTTTTTCAGCTGGGATGGGTTCCTCTATTTGCTCGTCATGCTCTATAGGATCTTCCATCGTTGGAGATTCTGTGTCTTAATTTACACCCGACCTTTTTACATGGATTTCTGGTAGCTACTTTCCCGTTCGAGTTGTAATTGCCTTAGCATGCTCCTTCAAGTTTATTTTCGTGTTACTTGGTAGACTGCCTGGTGCTCTGCCGGTCAAAGCAATCGCCATCTGTCCCATCTGAGTCTCTAAATTTTTGATTGCTACATTCTGGTCTTGAAGAGTAGCTTCGATTTTCCTCATGAATTGATTATTAGCTTCCATTTACTGATTAGTCTTCTCCATGAATTTACCAAACATCTCTTCCAATTGAGGCTTTTTCTCTGGCTACTGATATTGACCCTGTGGTTTATTCTAGTGTTGATTGCTCCAAGAGAAATTTGGGTGCTTTTTCCAACTTGAATTGTTTGTTTCCCCATAGGTGTTGTTTTGCTGCCGCTGTCCCCATTGGGCAAAATCTGCCTACTCTACTCCTTGTGCCAAAATCGGACATTCTGTTGTTACATGTTCAATTCCACATTTTTCACAACTGGTCTTCTTCGACTATGCTGCGGTGGTTGATTGTGTTATGTTTTCTACCTTGTGAAATAATGAATCAATTTTTTCTGACAAGGCAGAATAAACATCCACTTCATAAACTCCCGGCGTCTTCTTCTGAAGTGCTTGTTTCGATGTCCACATAGCTGAAGTGGTAGCCATAGTCTCGAAAAGTTTCAGTGCCTTATCAATTGTTTTTGTCGACAGTGATCCGTTTGATGATGAGTCAACCATGCTTTTAAAAGCTGGAAGTAATTTCACATAGAAGTACTGGACCTGAAGTCCCTTGCTAATCCCATGGTGTGGACACTTTCACAGCATATTCTTAAACCAATTCCAGGCTTCATCGAAATTCTCTGATTCGCCTTTTACGAAAAATAGAGATGTTGTGCTTGAGCTTTGCAATCTTAGCGGTGAGAAGAACTTAGCGCAAAATTTCTGGGCTAGATCATTCCATGTGGTGATGTTTGCGATTGGTTGCGAATCCAGTCATTCAATTGCCTTGTCGCACAGTGTATATGGAAACAACCCTTATTTTATTGCATCGTCTGAGATTCATTGATATCTAAAATGTTGGCACATCTTCAGGAAACGAAAAACATGTGTATGTGGATTTTCTTCGTACCTTCTATAGAATTGATGGCCATTTTGAAATAATTGTATCACATTAGTCTTCAGTTGAAAGTTCGGCTGTCCAAACGATGGATACACGATGCTTGACTGGCTTTGAATTATCTGAGGGGTCATGAAATCTCCCACGAGCATATTTCCTTCGTCTGCTGTCCCTTCTTCATTAACCTGAAAAATTATATTATTCTACACATTAGCCATTCGTTTATGTGCCTCTCTATTTTCTCGCTGCCTTCGATGGAAAGTTCGTTCAATTTCTAGATCACCTGGTGTCAATTCACCTTCAGCAGATCTTAGCATGCAAATCTGCGAAAAGAGTTAATAGGAGTGCTTAGATGTTAAAATGAAATAACAACTAGAACAAACCAAAATGAAATTAAGTGAAATAAAACACAACAAAATAACAGGAAATGTAGATATAGATGCCCGAATTAGTGCTAATATAGATAAAATTAAACGAATACTCAATCTCCAATAATGGCGTCAAAAACTTGTTCACTAAATATTTTTTTCAATTTAAACCACCGCAAGTGTACGGTTCGTTAATAAGTAATAAAAAAGATATTTGAGTTTGAATATCGTCCCACAGGAATTGAGTAGTTTAATTTCACCTATCGTAGCCTTAACCGAAACTGAATTATCCAAAATTGAATTCTTGACCTAAAGGAAATCCTAATTATGCAAATGTTATGAAATAAAGGATTTAATATGCAAAATGATGTTTTAATTAATAAAAATGCAAATTAAATGGTTCGAACGCAAGTTTGTTGTATTCAATGAGTGTTAATCGCACTATAATCACGAATTTCTATGCAATGATCACCTTAAACCCTAGTTTCACAAATGACATGTGATTGAATTATTGACAAATCAATGCTCCTAATTCTATCCAATACTCTCTCTCAAGATGTATTGAACCTATTTTTACATACCGCCGGCCTATATCTCTATGACAAGTGCATATATAAAAATGCATTCGATTTTATGAGCACTTATAGATTCGCATAAAGCATAGAGGTATATCCCTATCCCCTATCGGACCCTACGATGAATTATACCTTGTTGAATTTATTTCCCTTCTTTCCAACAGATGAAATAAACCACAACATATCGCATAATTATGTGCACTTAATTATGGAAGAAAATCAATGCATATAATTCATTCAAATATCCAAATACGCGTTTAAAGTCAAATTTCAAAACTAGAAAATTAAAGATTACATCACATGGTTTATCGATCTCCTAGTACATAAAAATCTAGCTTAACATGGAGAAAGAATCAAAATACTAGTAGATTGAAGAAAAAGCATCACCGGGTTATGAATTTGCGTGAAATCTAAATAATCTTCGTAAATTTCTTCGTTCCTTTCGCTCAAGATCCTTTCCAAGATGTGTTTTTCTTCCTTCCAATACATTCTATTTTTTTCTGGATGGTTTCTGGTAATTATATCTTGTTTAGATTAGGGTTCCATAAGAGTTTCATCGCGAAAATGAAACTGCAGGTTGGTCCCAGAAATTTACACCATGTGGCCGCATGGTTGAATCTTTTCCTTGGCTTTGAATCTCGGATAGGTGTTGTGCGGCCGCATGGTTATATTCCAAGCGGTCGCATGGTTGAAATCTTCTTTTTGTGTCGTTTTAGTTCCCAAACTCAATCTTCTTGTTTTTTGACCTCTTTTCTTCGACTCTTTTGTTCCATCATCTCATATTGACCTCCAATTGGTACTTGACACTATAAATTTTTTGATTGGTCCTTTGGCTCATCTTTTGAATATTTGCACTTTGGTCCCTAAACTATCACTTTGATTTATTTGAGGGGTCCTTTTTGCTTCTTTTTCTCGTGAATTTCATCAAGTCCATCACTATACCCTACAATCCAACAATTGAACGAATTTAAGCCACAATTTAAATATTTTGCTCGTAATTTAGTCATATTTGTTCATTAAATAAGTGCACAAAAATGCACTTATCATTCAATATACTAAGAAACTAAAATTATTTTACAAGATTTGATACTCTCTATCTAAATCTAAACAATCCTCTTAAATTTTTAATGCATACAACAATGAACTTGTTGTTAGTTGAGCCTTTACGAAGAGCCTACACCTTGTGATGTATATATGAGAGCCTTCTTTTGGAGGTATAGAGAAAGTAGATCACAAAAAACTAGGTTGAAATTTACAAACCCGCAAAATTCGAAAAACCCATCTAGGCGGTGCTGGATTGCCGCCTCCCTAATGCTCGAGCGCTAGGGCTTGTTCACTTGGTTCCTACTGGGCACTGCAACGCTTTGGGTCACAGTGCCTAGTCTCTGTTCTTCCTTTCCATTTTTCGGAGCCCCAACTCCGTCCTTGTGCTTCCAAAACACTTCTTCACCAATTCAAAGTTCTTTTCCCAATCAAATTCCCAATTCATGATAAAATCTGATCATTTATCTATTTGAACTTCCAAATCAAAATTATTTAGGCTTTCTCCATGAATTAAACTTCTAAATCACATGAAATTTGAGTCAAAATATAACAAACTTCATCTTGACACAAATGCCATAGCAAGGAATTAAATCTTCACTCTTCAAGTCACTCTCCACCTCTTCTACCATGTCCCTTTTCAGGCATACTCAGTTGCTGTGAATTAAATCCAAGCCCTGCTTACTAGCAGAACTACATTGCATGTCAACCTCTTGAATCATCCAGTTCACTACTAGCTCCAGCCGAGTCACCAAACTTGCTTGAATCACCAAGACCAACTTGATTACAAACCATTTTACTAGGTTACCGCTTATCAAACCATAAGTTGTAGTTGCTTCCACAATGACTGTCGAACCTTCCAAAACATTAACCTGGACTTTTTTCGCCCTTCTAACACGACCTTGGCATCCATGCTAACTGCAAAACTCCATGTCCATCATTATACTTGCATCCTTTTAAAATGGAAGGAAGGAACAGAGATAGAATCAACCGATTTCCAAAGTGCATTTCTGGATATTCCTTAATGTCCGGACTAAACCTATGCTCGAGAGATAGCTGTCCATACACTGATAAGGAATGTATGAATTCTATCAAGAATATTTAAGGAGATAATATTTTTGTTTAAACCTAGAACATGTCTCACTAAACCAAGTGTCATGACCATTCCATCAAACATCTTGATTCTAACTTTACCAGTACTAGCTATTTTACTAGGCTCATTATTTTGCATCTCCACAGATCCCCTTGTAACTGTTTCATTTAAAGAAAACCAATCCCACTTAGAACACATATGATAAATACAAACCATAGTAAGACTCCAAGATCTCCATCATTGCAGTCTTCTTCTGCAAGATTGTCATCATCGAAATTTTTTGGTTGTCCCTTTTAATCTTTAGTAGTAAACTTATTTCCATTTTGTCATTGACAACAATCCTCCTTCAAGCGTCCTTCGTTATTGCAATAACTTATTTCCATTTTGTCATTGACAACAATCCTCCTTCAAGCGTCCTTCGTTATTGCAATACCAACAGATTTCATCACTGTTGCTATTTTTGACTCTGCCCCTTCCATAACCACATGTTTTTTCTTACGAATAACAAAAACCTTTACCTAGGCCTGAGATCTGACAACCAGATACTTCATCTTCTTCTTAAAATAAAACGCATCATATATCTCGTCAATAGTGAGAGTATCACGACTATAGAAAATAGTATTTCTAAAACTCACATATGAAGGCGGCAACGAACATAGAAATATTAACCTTAAATCTTCATCGTACTTGACCTCAATGATTTCCAAATCAACTACCAATTTTTTGAACCCGATAGATGATCTTCCAAAAAATTACCTTCTATCAAGCGATGAGAATACAAGCTTTGTTTTAAGTGTAACTTACTGGTCAAGCTCTTTACCATACAAAACTGCTCCGATTTCAACCACAATCTAGCGGCATCTTTCTCCTTTACAACGTCCTGCTTCTCTTTCACATATATTGTTGTAGGCATTCTATCCACTCCCACATAGCATCATCCAAGTAATTGACAAAGAAGTGTTCACATCTTAATCCGCAAAAAAGAAAATCTACTTTTGCGATCCAAAAGAGGAATCTCAAATTTCATTATTTTCATTCTTAAAACAATTGACCTTGTTCAAATCTTGCTTTAATATCCAATTTGAACCTCCCAAGAAACCACCAAAAACCATGACTCTGATACCAATTTGTTGACAATCGGGCAAAATAATAAAGACGAGAAAATAAGAGCAATATGAAAATAATGGATCATATAAGAACACAAGATTTATGTGGAAGAAGAGGAGAATTTCAATATATAAAGAAACTAAAATTATTCTCTTAATCTAAATCTAGCCAATCCTCTCAAGTTTTTAATATATACACCAATGATCTTATTGTTTGTTGAGCTTCCATGAAGAGCCTATAGCTTGTGAAGTATATATAGGAGCGTTCTTTTGGAGTTATAGTTGAAGTAGAGTACAAAAAATGAGGCTCAAATCAACAAACTCACAAAATTCGAAAAATAGGCGGCGTTGGATTGTCGCCTCCTTGGCGCTAGAGCACCAGGGCCGGCACCCCCGCCTATTCACTTAGTTCTTGTTGGGCACTTTGATGGCCTGGGGCTAGCATCCAGCCACTGTTCCTACTTTGTGATTTCGGCACCCCCGACTCTATCCTTGTGTTTTCAAAAAACTTCTTCATCAATCTAGTCATTTTCTCAATCAAACTTTTGATCCATGACGAAATTTGATTCCTTATCTATCCGAACTTCCAAACCAAAATTATTTAGGCTTCCTCCATGAATCATACTTCCAAATCACATAGAATTTGAGTTACAACTTCAAAGATTTTTTGAATAATTTATTTAGAGGAGACGTTTCTTTTTTTGACAATTCTATGCTTTCATTTTGGCTTAATTGAATACTCATAAACTAGTTCAATAACATTCAAAGTTGATTCAAACAAAATAAATTATCGAGTTTACCTTGTAAAGTAAGGAAAATCTCGACAGGATTTTCAACTATTACATATTATTTATTGTTAAACAAGTGATCTCGAAACTTATGCCTCCATTTTCTTCACAAGTTCCTTGACTGTAGGCGCTGATACAACAATATGACGTGCAGTTGAACTAATGAAACCTTCTTCTACTGCTTTGTCAATAAAAGATAACAGTGAATCATAATAACCATCCACATTCAACAACCCTACCTGCATACACAAGATTATAATTTATTATATTTCTTTTCAAAATTCAGAATAAACAATTAGAATTTTAAAAATAATATATGAAAAGAAAAATGAAATTACCGGTTTGTCATGGATCCCGAGTTGAGCCCACGCTATTACTTCAAGGAGCTCCTCAAGAGTGCCATAACCACCTTAAATTTACGGTTCATAACGTGAAGTGTTATAAAAAATAATATAGAAAGTGCGATTTGTTATTTTCAAGTATGGTATTCAGTAAAAAAATTAATATGTAATATGCAATTTCATTCAAGACCGAGCTCCACGTACAGGAGCTCAGTTCACAGGCCCCTCACCGTGGGGGTCAGGCTCCACACGCATTATGAAAAAAAAAGGTGGGGTCCGCCCCCACCTCCTCTCTCACCTGGCAGGTCCTTATACCTATAGCTTTATTGTTTCATTAAATACTAAGTTAAAGTGTAAGAGCCTATTTGGCAGTGCTTTTGTTTTTACAGAATAGCTTCTACTTAAAACTCGCATGATTGTCATTTTTGCTTCTAATATTTATAAAAGAGTTCAAGAAAGTTATCTTAGTTCAAGTTTTTTCTAAAAACTCTTCTGTTAAGATAAAGCATTTCCAAGAAATGATTCAAACATATTTGAAAATAGTTTATTAAAATTCAAAATAACTTTTAACTTTTCAAAAATAGCCTAACTATGACTCATGTATATGATGTATTTTATAAATTTCTTTATAAAAATAGTACAAACCAGGTAATGCAATAAATGCATCAGAATGTCTGGCCATCTCTGCTTTCCTTTGGTGCATATCTGCAACTGCCTTCACCTCTCCTACTGTTTCACCTGTAATCTAACTCCCCCAATCCACCACACCCACCATACATTCACCATCAAGTCAATTCTAATTCAACACTGTCACCAACAAGCTTTTGATGAAAAATTTAATAGATTTTAATAAAAATTAATGAAAATATATGATTCAAAAATTGATAAAGTACCAAATCTGAAAATATGTAATTAAAATAATTATTGACTTTGACTTCAACTTTTCATTATTTTCCAAATAAACAATAAACCTTTGTTTGGGGAGGATTAAAATCAAATGTTTAGAAAATTTTGATAAAAGTGTATGAAATGTATGGTTCAAAAGTTATGGTTCTCACAATACGTGTGGATAAAATTAATTGTGGACTTTGGCTTATATAAAATTCTGAATTTTAATTTCTACCAAACATGAACTAAATAACTGTTTTGTAAGTAGAAATTAAAATTTTCATATGGACTATGGTCTTTTTCTTACCGCGATATAAATTAAGACCATCTCAATAAATTAAAGTTATTTGACAGGGGAGCATTTATTATTTATGTTTAGTTTCAACAAAAAAATGTAATTTAAGTGATGAATACTTTATTTTTTAGATGAGTTGCATCAACTTGATATCATATCAAGGTTTGAGTTGTTTAATAAAAATATACACGTGTCAAGTCTTTGATCAAAGAAATAAATTGAGCCTGTGTGTAAAAAGATAAATTAAAAGAAATTAAAAAATTAAATTTATCTGCCTTAGAGTATTTAAAATTTTTAAGTATTTTAAACGAAATAGTTCAACTGGATTTGTCTAACAAGACAAAAGACAAATTCAATTAGATGCAGTGTTGGGAGAATGAGAGATGCATGTCCAAGATAAGGAATATACAGCAGAAATTCAATTTGTAAGTTGTGTAATAGGGGCTTCCAAAAAAAAAGAAAAAAGATAATTTTAAATATTAAAAAAAAAAAAGAAAAAAAAAAAAAGAAAGAAAGATACCTCTCTAGGCATGAGTGTCCTGGGAATTATTCTGGAGATAAGAACATAACAAAGTAATTAACATTAAAATTTATTTAACTAATATTAATATCCATCTAATTTAAATTAATCATGCCCTTCATTATTTGCAACTTCTAAGAATAGTATAACATTGACAAATTCTTTAAGATAGACCTATCGTATGACTAGAAAATTGCCCCTTTTTATCTTCTTCTTCTTCTTCTTTTTTTTTTTTTTTTTCTTTTTTTTTTTTATTTAAAACATTCTCTTTATACGTCAAGTGTCTAATTTAATGTTCCTAAACATAATTTGTTGCTTATGCCATCTTCTTCTTCACCCTCTGCCCATTTACCCTATTGTGTAACACCCGTTCGCTCCAGCCGAGTTGGCCCCTCCATCCACTCAATGCACTAGAGCAGTGTGGGGGACTCTGAAGTCTCACAAGCACCAATTCACAGCTCGAGAGACTTCCTCAGAAGTAGAGGATACAGAGTGATGAAGGGGACAATGGCTAAGATTCTGAAAGAAGGGGGCCTTGTAGGACTATCATGAAGGCGATGGGTTTGAGGAAGAAGACGAAGAATATGATAAAAATAGAAGTACATTTTTAAAATCTCCACTAAAAAGAGATCTTTTTAAAGAAAATTAATAAGTGAAGTTATTTATTTATTTTTCTTTCAAATCAGTCTTTCTTGAAACAATTTTTCTCATGAAAAGAAAATTGAGCAAAAACAAGAAACTCACCCAAGAACATGGCGACCACCATTGTAAACTGCTTGGGACACCAATCCCATCAAACCTATGCTTCCTCCACCATATACCAAGTCAATATTTCTTGATACCTTTAGTACACCACAAGTTCAATGACAACTTAAAAGAGACAACTTCGATTTTACTCCACATTTTTGTGAAACAAATGTTATATTGGAAGTGAAATGAACACTAGTATTTCTTTTCTTGAAATTGTTCGAATCACTAGTATGTGAACACTATGCGACACTACTTGTCGATTGTTAAAAGATGCAAAGAATTAATACTAAGCAGAATGAAACTAATTGCACGACTATTGTGTATGTTTTGCATGATTTGACACACATTCTTGACGCTGTGTAGAATTCACAAAAAAATTTAGAATCGTGTTCATTATCTTATCTAGTCTATTTGGCCTCCATTTCTTAAAACCTTTTTTTTCCTTTCAAAACTCATTTTTTACTGTATATTCATAGAATTCACAACTTGTATTAAAATCGACTAAATTATTTAATTTTTATCAAAACCAAACAAGGGTGGATAATTTTTTCTAGTATAACTAGATCAGTTTGTGTATACATGCACATGGAGAAGAGCACTAATGTGGGTGCAAATTATACTATTTTCCAATTTATTATTGTACAACGAGTTTTTAATCAATACTAACCCAAAACTAAAAAGACTTCAATTATTTTAACCGAAAAAAAGAAGAAGAAAATTATGAGGTAAAAATTAAAAAATGAATACAGATAGAAGAAAAATATATACCAATTCTTTTCCAAGCTCCACAGCTGCCTCCTTATAACTGCTTCTCTTTCCTGGACTGCTCCCACAAAATACACATATTTTCTTGAATTTCGAACGCTTCATTTCCCCCTTTATTTCCATCTCAATTCCTTCTATAATTTCTACTTGATCTTGAATGAGTGTGTGGGTGGTTCTTGTGTGTGCAAGTTAACCAAAACTGCCCACTCTCTTTTCAAAATTTATAGTAATTTACCTCTCTCACGATGCTTTAGGGAGGGGCAGGGCCGTCAAGGTTTGGGTTCAACCTTATAGTAATATTCCCCTATGCCCCCATCCCACCTACCCCTCATGCCCACAACTTTAAGGATGAGTCTATTTTTCAGTGTCCCACACCTTTGACTAATAGTGGATATGTGCTATCAAATTACAGTGGCAGTATGCAAGTGTGGATGTAGAGTCTGCAGGGACAGTACACAGTACAGTATGACAAAGCCAAAATGCGAGAGAATAAATCCTAGGACGATAAGATCAAGGGCGTGTTTGGCACATAGAATGGTAGATGATAGAGGACAAGAGTCACAACTCGACCAAATATCTAGCATGCTTTGAAAACCCAACATATGATCCTTGGAGCCCCCAAAACTCCTTTATGACTTGATCAACGGAATCGTATTAGTGGTCGAATACAAACTAAAGAATGGGTATACCCCGTTCTCTTTGCGTAGGTAGACAGAAGAGGAGAGTTAAAAGAAGACGAGAGCGTTTTCATCCATAATATAACCTATCTCGAATTTATTGAAATAAGATTCAATTTATTGTAATTATTAAGTTTACATCAATACATGAAACCTAAATGATTGTCAAATGACTGTTTTTCACGTTAGATGCAAATTATTAATCAAATGATGAACAACATATTAATGCTAGTTTCAAATGTGGATATCATTTGTTATGAGAATTTCCTTATGAAAAGGTCGAAACTCAAAAGTCAAGAGGTAGGACTTCCATAGTACCATGTAAAAGGAGAGTTGAGAGCTGCCGTCTAAAATTGACTGTTCAGAAATGATTCATTGACACATTCTTAAGTACAAGTGATTATGAGAGAAAAATTGGACAGATTAATTTAAAGTGACGTGTCAATAAATCATTGGATAGACATTGAATTGGACAGCTAACTTTGAACAACATATCTCAACTCGTAAAAAGGATCATGATTCATGCACCATTATCCTATAACAAGAAATGAATTCTAAGTAACGCGTCACATTTTTAGGATGATTAGACATCTTTTGAGTTAACACGTTGTTTTTTTAGAGTACGCATAACTGGATTATGGCTAACGAATAATTTTTGAAAAGTTCAAATAGAAAACAAAGGACAGTAAGAGGCAACATGGGGCAAGAGACGCAATGGATCAGTACAACATTTAGACATATCTGGTGATCATGTGTGCTCCATTCCCCAATTCCTCACTCCCAACTTTGTCCAATTCAGCCCGAGTAAAATTTCACTAAACTCCTTCCCTATCCCCTCCCCTCCCCTCACCCCCCCCCCCAAAAAAAAACCCCAATTTTTTTTTCTTCATTTCTAACAAGAACTTTCGTTTTTAAAAAGTTTTTCAATGGTCTTTTTTCGACGAAATAAACAAACAAGAACTATCTATGCATCTAGTGATGCTTTGAGCGAACTCCAATGTCCTATCACATGCTCTCACACTGCTTCTGCCTTCGCTCCAGTTTGAAATATTATTATGCAATCATAGTATTAAAGAACGAAAGGACAATTTAATTTGAGTCCAAAACTTACAGTGTCGATGGTGTCTTCCAGTCAGACAATTTCTAACATTGCCATATATAATTTGAAAGTCCAAATAACATCATTCCTACTTAAAGCTAAAGTTGAAGAGGCTAATCTAAAATGACACACAAAGACTCCATTATTCTCCCCGGAGGTTCATGATGCAAAAAGATGCAGCTGGAAGGCACGATGGAATAGATTAGTCGAGTAGGGGAATGGGACACAATTTGAAGGAATTTGATTAGACTAAATAAACATCCAAAATACAAACCAAAAGTTTGGACTAGACTTAGCTTCTGATCTATATGAGAATAAATTTTTATCACATTACCTTTATAATTATCGACAGATGTTTATCTTCTTATTAGTTTGAATAATATTTTATGAGGGTGAGTTTTCGTCTTCATTATATTTATAGAGAGAGAGTGATTATATCATTTAATTGATGGATATCATGATAAGTCCCATAAATTAAATGATTTATTTACAGAAAATAAACCTTAGAAATTAATTTCATAAATAGTTTACAATGAGACAAATACATGCATTTTTTTCCCTTCCCTTGAAACATGCAAAAACCCACATTAATTACTATAGAAATTGTTCTTATGGTCCTTCTATAAACGTGTTTTTATAGCCGTTTATAGTTTTCCAACACTAGCCGTCTTGTGAACAACAAACATAAGGTGACAATCTCTTCATGTAATTTTATTTTATTTTATTTTTTATTTTTTGTCATTAAGGTTCCTTTATATCATTTCCTATCCAATATATGAAATTTGACTTATTTTAAATGTTTAAGACTTTAAGTCATTTTGATATTAAATATGTGAGATGACAAAAAAAATATCATATTTGTTTGTATTAACCATTTTAATTGAAGGGTTTTGTTGGGGTGGACTCCTTCTTGTTAAAATATTTATAGAATAAGAGATGATATTGAAACAAGTGGATGTAGTATTGATAAAAGATTAAGGCAAGGATTTAGTGGTTGAACTACTTCTATAGATCCCAACATGCTTCGTCTTATAATAATGACGTAATCTTAATATAATAATTAAGATATGGGAGGTGAATCAAAATATAATACGTCATATTTATTAAGGATCTACAATTCTAATTGCATTACATAGACTTTCTATTAGATAAGTACTGAACCAAATAAAGTGAAAAAATTAAAAAAATAAATGAAAGTTCAAATACCTGACTTCAAATTTTTTTACCAAAAAAAAAAAAAAAAAAAAAAAAAACCTTCAAAAAAATTTGTTGGACCTGAGAGGTGAGGGGGGCCCCAAATCCGTCCCTGACTGTGTGTAAACGATCATATACACAGCATTATCCAAACTAAAACATTATTCTATATCAGATTTTTGTATTCCATCGCCCTTATATTGACATTATCCAAACTAAAACATATTTTTTTTTTCATTTCTAACAAGAGCTTTCGTTTTTAAAAAGTTTTTCAATGGTCTTTTTTCGACGAAATAAACAAACAAGAACTATCTATGCATCTAGTGATGCTTTGAGCGAACTCCAATGTCCTATCACATGCTCTCACACTGCTTCTGCCTTCGCTCCAGTTTGAAATATTATTATGCAATCATAGTATTAAAGAACGAAAGGACAATTTAATTTGAGTCCAAAACTTACAGTGTCGATGGTGTCTTCCAGTCAGACAATTTCTAACATTGCCATATATAATTTGGAAGTCCAAATAACATCATTCCTACTTAAAGCTAAAGTTGAAGAGGCTAATCTAAAATGACACACAAAGACTCCATTATTCTCCCCGGAGGTTCATGATGCAAAAAGATGCAGCTGGAAGGCACGATGGAATAGATTAGTCGAGTAGGGGAATGGGACACAATTTGAAGGAATTTGATTAGACTAAATAAACATCCAAAATACAAACCAAAAGTTTGGACTAGACTTAGCTTCTGATCTATATGAGAATAAATTTTTATCACATTACCTTTATAATTATCGACAGATGTTTATCTTCTTATTAGTTTGAATAATATTTTATGAGGGTGAGTTTTCGTCTTCATTATATTTATAGAGAGAGAATGATTATATCATTTAATTGATGGATATCATGATAAGTCCCATAAATTAAATGATTTATTTACAGAAAATAAACCTTAGAAATTAATTTCATAAATAGTTTACAATGAGACAAATACATGCATTTTTTTTCCCTTCCCTTGAAACATGCAAAAACCCACATTAATTACTATAGAAATTGTTCTTATGGTCCTTCTATAAACGTGTTTTTATAGCCGTTTATAGTTTTCCAACACTAGCCGTCTTGTGAACAACAAACATAAGGTGACAATCTCTTCATGTAATTTTATTTTATTTTATTTTTTATTTTTTGTCATTAAGGTTCCTTTATATCATTTCCTATCCAATATATGAAATTTGACTTATTTTAAATGTTTAAGACTTTAAGTCATTTTGATATTAAATATGTGAGATGACAAAAAAAAATCACATTTGTTTGTATTAACCATTTTAATTGAAGGGTTTTGTTGGGGTGGACTCCTTCTTGTTAAAATATTTATAGAATAAGAGATGATATTGAAACAAGTGGATGTAGTATTGATAAAAGATTAAGGCAAGGATTTAGTGGTTGAACTACTTCTATAGATCCCAACATGCTTCGTCTTATAATAATGACGTAATCTTAATATAATAATTAAGATATGGGAGGTGAATCAAAATATAATACGTCATATTTATAAAGGATCTACAATTCTAATTGCATTACATAGACTTTCTATTAGATAAGTACTGAACCAAATAAAGTGAAAAAATTAAAAAAATAAATGAAAGTTCAAATACCTGACTTCAAATTTTTTTACCAAAAAAAAAAAAAAAAATTAGGATTTTTTTGATTACATTTATTTTCCATGAAAAATATCAGTTTTCCATCCAAATTCCTACTTGAGGTATTTGATTGCTATTTTTTTCATAGAAAATATTTTCCAACTTTTAAAAATATGCCTAATTTTCCTTGTTTTTAAGGAAAACATTTTTCTTGGGTGGAGGCGATTTTTATGTTCCACGAAAGAAGGAAAATATTTTCATTTCTATGTGATATTTTCCATATCAATCAAACGCACTATTATAATATACTTCTCACTTTCAAAAAGTTCTATAGAAATTTTGTGCTTTCCATTGGCTCCCTTAATTAACTTGACAAAATTCCTTAATTAGTTAAAATCAATATTTGAAAAAAAATACTCTACTTAATTAGTATAATAACTCTTCAATTATCTAAGAACTCGAACAAATTTAAATATTCTGGAATTACTAAATTTATTTGGAGAAAACATACCTAGTATTCATTTTCTTTCACTTCTTTAAATCTTAAAATATTTCCGCCCACATTAAAAAATAATTAGTAGTACATAAGGTCACGAGACATTGAATAAACAGTACCTGTAAACTAAAGTCACAATTAATACTTCTCTGCATCA